AGAACAGCTTCACAATCTCGATCAAAATCAACAGTAGAAGAATCATCCATCACGAAAAACGCAGAAATTAGATGAAATAAAATTGAAGAGAGAGAAAAAATAAGAACAAAATCAATTGAAGAGAGAGAAAATAAATGTTTAAAATGATATACATATACAAAGCTTGAGTAAAAAGAAAAGAAATAAAAAAAAAGAAAATTTAAAAACTAGCCAAAAATGGCAGGAAAAAAAAGGGAAAGAAAAAAAAAAAAAGAATCATCAAAGTCAAAAACGCAGCAAAACGACGCCCGTGGGGAGGTGGGGTGCAGGTAGAGGAAGCTACACAGGGGACTAGTGTAAAAATTGTAAATTTTTATCGGTGCTCAAAGTTATATATAAACGATAGATTAAGAAATATCAAGATAGTAAAAAAACATTCTTTGGAGTTTGTTTTGGCGTTAAATAGGCCCATTAGTAGAATAAAAATTTATTGGCTGGTTATGGAGTATTACTAGTAAAATTACTTTTGATGGTTTATTTACAATTAATTTTCTCATAGCTAATAAATCTTACTGGTATAATCTAAGCTTTACCTCTCAAAAAAAAAAAAAAAAAAAAAAATTTGTAAACGCGGAAATTAATTGTTGTTGCACATTATTTGGGTAACGTCAAATTAGCAGATTCAAATTTGTGTTTTACATAACAATTAAAAAAAAGGCCAATTAGCAATAACACTTACAAAAAATAGAAAAAGTATAGTGCTAGATAACATGATTACTCTCCTTGTATTGTTATTTATTTTTAAATAAAAATTTTTTAGAGTAAGAAATAGCTTAAGTGGTTAGAGTCTCATCATCGCCCGTAGAATATACAACAACGTATTAGATTTAGTCCGATATTGATATTTTTACATTTTAGTTCTCTAGTGATATAAAATACCAAATTCTCTTTATTAAAAGTTAATTTAAGATATTAGTTTAAACTCCTAAAAAAAAAGAGAGAGAGAGAGAGAGAGAGAGAGAGAGAGAGAGAGAGAGAAAGAGAGAGAGAGGAGAGAGAGAGAGAGAGAGAGAGAGAGAGAGAGAGAGAGAGAGAGAGAGAGAAGAGAGAGAGAGAGAGAGAGAGAGGAATGAAGTTATACAGGATATTAAAGAGTAGTTGATCACTTGATATGAAAATTTACTAAAAAAATTTAGTGGTCTTCCAAAAAAATTTGTGAAAATAAGAAATAGAAGGCGTTTTGAATTTCCCAAACACCTTATTTTATCAAAGTGAGGCTAATACAAAACGCTAACAACAAAAACCATGCTAAGATGTACACCAAATTAATTGAATCAATAATTTGTAAAGAGAAAAAGCCCCAAAATGAAGCAAATTAATTTGAATCAATAGGTATGTTAAGAAATTACAAAGCATTAGCTTAGTTGATCATTCAGTTTTACTAGTTTTCAAACTATCACTTTGTAGTAATTTTCAGCGTTGTCAACATCAACTTCTCCAGCCAATTCTTCAAGAGATTTACCCATTGGTTCAGGAATCATAAAAGTACATAGCATACCCATGAAGTTGATCACACCAAGAATGATGAGGGACTTCTTCTTGCCTATACCCGACGGATAGTTATGACTTCTCTTACTCGGGTCCTCCTCTTGGGAGGCGTAGAGGAATCCGAAGGCTCCTATTATAGCCCGGCCTTCCCTGCTGCAGCTGATATACCGTGGCACGTGGATCTGAGCCTAGCAGGGAATATCTCAGCTGGTACAACGAAGGTGGTTGCAATTAGGACCAAAGTTGGCAAAGAAGAAGGTTAGGCCGTATAAAATGAGGAAGCCTATACGGTGGTCCTTTGAGTTCCAATGGTCATAGGGAAAGGCAATGGCAAACATGAAAATTGTCATGAAAAGAATCCGATCATCTGAATCCACCATCGTCCAATTACATCTATGAAAGCGGACCAGTGAACCAGTATCCAGGGACGGTTCCACACAGAGCGATTCAAGGTTGAAAATCTCGCTATTAGGTAAACCTCCGTTTATAGCACTCATCTCATCTGTTGGTGGATCCAACCCACGGAGAAGTAAAGATCCTTTGAAAAAGGTTTTTGACTGTAAAATGCAATGTCGAGTAAGAACCAAGTACTGGTGGTGCCTAGTAGGCGGATACCATACCGGCTAGCAAATTCACGTGAAAGTAACCCGAACTTATGCCTCTCACTTCGTACTAGCCTCTCAACCCTCTCTTCCTCCGCATCTAGATGAACATTGAGGACTTTCGACATATCTTCAGCAGCTTGTCTAGGGTTCTTTGCTACCAAAGCGGTGTACCTAGCAGTCTCAGGCATCTGCATACGCCAATAGTATGTAAGGGAAGCAGGAAAGGCTCCGAACATCAAGACAATTCGCCAAATGTAGTCGGCTTCCCGAGGGATAGACGCCACAGGGTCTACATTAAAGGGGGGAGGTTTAAATTTCCTTTCAAAGGCGGCCGAAACAATTAAGGCCACAATCCCACCGGCTAAGATACCCATACCTTGCATTGCAAAAACCGCGGCAATAAATGTCCCACGAGTCTTCTTGTTAGCATATTCAGACATGATAGTAGCCGAAAGAGGGTATTCCCCTCCAACACCAAACCCAAGCCAGAATCGAAAAAAAACAAAGACAAGCCATTACACCCTTGGCAGTCTTCCCAAAGGAAAGTCCCGAAGCAAAAGACGAAAAGATCATCAAAATCAATGTTACACCATACACCTTTTTTCTTCCCATATGATCACCAAGCCAACCAAAGAAAAGCTGCCCAAATAATGTACCAAAAAGCGCGGCACCATTCACAGCAACTGCAACATTGATAGGCAAGTTCCCTGGGTGCTCCGCGCCAGGTACTGTGTAGTACAAACGTCCGAGCAGCCTCGCTATCATTGAGATGCAGAACAAGTCATATGCGTCCGTAAAGATCCCATACCAGCAATCGCAATGGCCTTGAAATGGTACCATTGTGTTCGGGCCACATCTAGCGCGTTAAGCACTTGCAACTGCCCTTCTAACATGACTGAATAATTAAAATTACTATGTAATAATAATGATCAAGGTTATTTCAGCAGCCTCCTAATAATCTAATGTTTGATCTTGACATAATACTATACTTTCATTCAATTTATTAAACTAACAAGAATAATGTTACATTTCTGGACAATACCTAACTAGAATTGAAGGGTCAAGCAAATAAAATTCTGTAAATGTGGAAAAATCAGGGAAATAAGTGAATGATCAAACCTGATAAATGTAGCAGGAACGGTATTAATTAATTAGTCGCCGCGATACGAAAGGACAGAAATAGAAAATAAGCAAGAAGAAGAAGAAGGTGGTATGATTCAGGTCAATACATGCTACAATAATACTGCTTGTTCTGCTATGTTTCAGGTCAATGCTACATACAGCTTGAAATAGAATTTTTTTTTTTAAATTATTATATTTAATTTATTTTTTGGGTATGAGTAGAATTATAAGACTTTAAGTCTACAATGTAATTTAAATTTAATATAATATCTTTTGGTTAAAAGTTTTTCTTTGCCGCCCTCAAATCTTCAATATTTACTTTAACAATTGGTTATATAGTGTTACAAAAGACATTGATGTAAATTGGTTAGATCGGTATTATTTTCCACATTTAAAAAAGAATAAAAATACTAAATACTAAGCGAGTTCATAAATCGTAACAAAATATTTAATTATTTGTTTTGCTAAACTAATTTGTAGCCTTAGACTCAAATCAAAAGTGATGCTAACACGTTGTTACGGAATCCTTTAACAACAACTCAATCAAATGTTGTTGGAGTTTAATTCTTCGTATTTGCCAGCACGTTTGCAGCATATGATTGCGTTTTTGTGCTTCATTATTCATGCTTTCATTCAAATTAAATGACTTTCTATTTTTGGGGCCTATTGACTGGGCCACTGGCGGCATATTAAGGATTCATGGTCCAATAACAATAAAGATTGGACCTAATAGATGGGTTTCAAAGCCCAATCATGGTCCAAGCCCAGCCACCATAATAAATCCCAAACTACGTTTAAATTTGCCTTCAACAATAAATTTATGATACAATTGCATTAATAAAAGAAGTGACAACTGAGCGGGCCGGATTGAGCTTTGGGCTGGAAATTATGTGCCCAAACCTACCTAAATTGACTGGGCCATGCAAGTTTTTCAGGCTGGGCCAATAAATCATCTAAAATTGCATAAAAATGCGTTTCCAAGCCCGTCCAAAAAAATTATGAATTTAGTCAGGCCCGACCTAATTTTGGGCCGAAAAAAAACTCCCAAAAAGCCGCCTATATTCAGGCCGTGCTAACTTTGGTCAGCTCTAATCAATAATTTTATAAGTTTATGTTGGTCAAATATATTGTTATTCTCCCTCTTTTATCATAGTGGAATGAAAAAAAAAAAAAAAAAACTTATGAACTTGTGTAACATAAACAACACTCGTACAAAACATATTTATTATTATTATTATTATTATTATTATTATTATTATTATTATTACAAGAGAAGATCCCTACTACATCGAAATCTTACACGGTTTAAACCAAATTACATACAAACTACAAAGTACATAATTTCTCAAAGAAGAGAGTTGTAATTTGTAAAGCCCTTGCAAGTGTTGGGCTTTATAACATAAATCAAATTATAAAATTTGATTACATAAAGTGGATACCAACTAAAGAGAACTAGAAAATGATACAAGAAATTAATTACTAGTTTAACAGATAAAAGATGCCATACTTGAATTGAACTCATCAAACAATGCAAGCATGCATGGTTGGACAATACTAGTTGAAGAATCGTATATTAAAAAAAAACTTACACTATTTATACTTTTAATTTTGATATATTTGACTAATTGAGATTAAGTATATTCTTAAAAGATTACGGAGAGGATTCCAATCCGGAAGAATGTGTAAACATGATTTCCATATAAATATTCGTCTTTGTTCCCTCCATTTTCCTTCACAAAAACAAATATTCTCTTCTACTTGAGCTTCTTCCTTCATAACGCACAGGTTGGTGAATTTTTCTCTTTAATATTTTTGTCCACTTTTATACATCATACCATACATTTCTTCCATATTGAATAATGTTACAATACTTTAGGGTTTATGTGAGTCCATTATTGTTGGAATCAAACTATAGTAGTTAGATATAAAACAAATAATTATATACTCTATTTATTATCAATTGGTTTATAATGGACATATATCATGCATAGGCTTAACTTGCATAGTTGCATATTGCATATGTTTTAGACTCTTCTACGACTAAAGTGTAGCCTGTTTGTATGACCAATAAAGCTCAATATAAAAAGTCCTCTAAAATAATATTGTTCATTCTTTCAAAAAAATAAAAATAAAATAATTGTTCATTAGTATACTGAAATATTGCTTTATGTATTTTGTTATACTATATGCCATCATTGCAAAATTTCTAAATTAATATATCCTTTTCGATGTTTCAAGCTTTAATAATTTTATTACAAAAATTAAGTATTCATTCAGGTTTTTAATACACAAATATGATTGTTTTACCTTGCAGGGCGTAGATGAAGGTAGAAAGATAAAATAAGAAAAGAAAAATTGAAAAAAAGAAGAAAAGAAGAAAAGAAAAAGAGAGCATATCATGGCGAAGGGACAACAATTAGAAGTGCTAAATGCACTTGACGTTGCAAAGACGCAATGGTACCACTTCACAGCAATTGTGATTGCTGGTATGGGATTCTTTACAGATGCATATGACCTGTTTTGCATCTCTTTGTTGACCAAGCTTCTTGGTCGTATTTACTATGACACTCCGGGATCTGGTAAGCCAGGAGCATTGCCTATCAATGTCTCTGCTGCTGTTAGTGGAGTTGCTCTTTGTGGTACCCTAGCTGGCCAACTCTTCTTCGGTTGGCTCGGAGACAAGATGGGGAGGAAGAAGGTGTATGGTATCACCTTGGTTATGATGGTTGCAATGTCTATTGCCTCTGGTCTCTCCTTTGGGAGCTCTGCCAAGGGTGTTATGACAACACTTTGCTTCTTTCGCTTCTGGCTTGGATTTGGTGTTGGAGGAGATTACCCTCTATCTGCAACAATCATGTCTGAGTATGCTAACAAGAAGACTCGTGGAAGTTTCATCGCTGCTGTCTTTGCTATGCAAGGCATGGGTATCTTGGCCGGTGGTATTGTCTCTCTAATTGTTTCATCCGCATTTGAGGCCAAATTCAAGCCTCCCCCATTCAAAGTCAACGCTATTGCCTCCCTCCCACCAGAGAGCGACTACATTTGGCGTATTGTCTTGATGTTCGGGGCCATACCTGCTGCCACAACATACTATTGGCGTATGCAGATGCCTGAGACTGCCAGGTACACCGCTCTTGTGGCTAAGGATGCTAAGCAAGCAGCTTCAGACATGTCCAAAGTCCTAAAGGTTCAGATTGATGCAGAGGAGGAAAAGGTTGACAAAATAGCAAAGAGTGAGAGGAACCAATTTGGGTTGTTCACTAAAGAATTTGCTAGACAATACGGTGTTCGCCTTCTAGGAACCACCAGTACATGGTTCTTACTCGACATTGCATTTTACAGTCAAAACCTTTTCCAAAAAGATCTTTTTAGCTCCATCGGTTGGATCCCACCAGCAGCAGATATGAATGCAATCAGGGAGGTGTATATGGTAGCAAGAGCTCAAACATTGATCGCCCTATGTGGAACCGTCCCCGGCTATTGGTTCACTGTCGCTTTCATAGACGTCATTGGACGTTGGTGGATTCAGATGATGGGATTCTTTTTCATGACTGTTTTCATGTTTGCCATTGCCTTCCCCTACAAATATTGGCAACAAAAGGAGAACCGTATCGGGTTCATTATTATGTATGGGCTAACCTTCTTCTTTGCCAACTTTGGTCCTAATGCCACAACCTTCGTGGTTCCCGCAGAAGTCTTCCCGGCTAGGTTGAGATCTACTTGCCATGGTATATCTGCAGCAACTGGAAAAGCCGGGGCTATAGTAGGAGCCTTTGGATTTGTGTACGCCTCGCAAGAAAAGGATCCGGCTAAGAGAGATCATGGTTATCCCGCCGGTATTGGGAAGAGTAAGTCTCTTATCGTGCTCGGTGTCATCAACTTTATTGGTATGCTTTGCACTTTAATGGTTCCCGAATCTAAGGGTAAGTCACTTGAAGAATTAGCTGGCGAGGTTGAGGTCGATGACGACCGCAGAGGATCCGCTTGATTAACATTGCGGTGAATTGGAGCTGTTGCCTACTTCTTAATTATCAGTTGTTCGGCTCCAATATTTCTCTTGTTTGCTACTTCAGTTGCTTTAATACCTTCCTGTTGGTTATATCCCTTTACAACCAACCTAGCCTTATTTCTTACAATTGTACCATATTCATCAAGTTTGTTTCGAAAGACCCATTTTAAACCTATGACCTTTTTATCTAGTGGCTTAGGTTCAAGATGCCATACCTGATTTCTTTTGAATTCATTAAGTTCCTCTTGCATGGCTATAATCCAGTCAGGGTCTTCTAAGGCTTCTTTATGGTTGCAAGGTTCCAAAGTAGATAGAAAAGCATTGAAGGCACAGAAGTTCCTCATTTGCGATCTAGTCTGAGTTCCTTCGCATAAGTCACTAATAATTTTGTCCAGTGGGTGTGACTTTTGGTGCTTCCAAGGTTTGGGCTGGAAGGTTTGGATAGTAACTATTCTTATTTTCTGAGCCAGTTGCTTCTTCTTCAGTGATTTCCTCTTGTGTTATTGGTTCCTCGGCAGGTTCTTCAATCTGAGGTTGTTCTATCGAAGGAACTTCAGTCAGTATGTCGAGTTCCTTCTCCGGATTTTCATGATTTTCATTTACTCGAGTTGGCTGCTTATTTGGAATTATTGCATCTTCTTCTTGTTCTTGAGAACGTACTAGACCAATTTCAAAGTCATAGTCCTCATGTTCCTGTGTACATGGAAGTGGATTAGTTTCATCAAATATAACATGCACACTTTCCTCAACACACATAGTACGTTTATTGTAAACTCTATACGCTTTACTGTTAGTAGCATATCCAAGAAATACGGCTTCATCACTTCTTTCATCAAATTTCCCTATGTTTCTTTTACCATTATTATGCACAAAACATTTACAACCGAATGCTCTAAGATGAGATATGTTCGGTTTTCTGCCTTTCATCAGTTCATAGGGTGTCTTATTTAATATAGGCCTTAGCATGACACGATTTATAATATAACAGGCTGTATTCACGGCTTCTGCCCAGAAGTTCCTTGGAAGATCGCTGGCTATTAACATGGTTCGAGCCATGTCTTCTAAGGTTTTATTCTTCCTTTCCACAACTCCATTTTGCTGTGGAGTCCTTGGAGCTGAGAAATTATGACTTAAGCCTTGTTCCCTGCATAAATCATCAAATTTAAAATTCTCAAATCCAGTGCCATGATCGGATCTAAGGTGTATCAGTTGATGACCTGTGGACTTTTGAATTCTCCTGGAAAATGTAACAAACTCGTCAAAAGTCTCATCCTTACTAGACATAAAAATAACCCATGTAAATCTAGAATAATCATCAACAATTACTAAGACGTACTTCTTTCCACTTCTACTTTGAATTCTCATAGGACCACATAAATCCATATGAATTTATTGTCGCTTTCATAGACGTCATTGGACGTTGGTGGATTCAGATGATGGGATTCTTTTTCATGACTGTTTTCATGTTTGCCATTGCCTTCCCCTACAAATATTGGCAACAAAAGGAGAACCGTATCGGGTTCATTATTATGTATGGGCTAACCTTCTTCTTTGCCAACTTTGGTCCTAATGCCACAACCTTCGTGGTTCCCGCAGAAGTCTTCCCGGCTAGGTTGAGATCTACTTGCCATGGTATATCTGCAGCAACTGGAAAAGCCGGGGCTATAGTAGGAGCCTTTGGATTTGTGTACGCCTCGCAAGAAAAGGATCCGGCTAAGAGAGATCATGGTTATCCCGCCGGTATTGGGAAGAGTAAGTCTCTTATCGTGCTCGGTGTCATCAACTTTATTGGTATGCTTTGCACTTTAATGGTTCCCGAATCTAAGGGTAAGTCACTTGAAGAATTAGCTGGCGAGGTTGAGGTCGATGACGACCGCAGAGGATCCGCTTGATTTATCTTACAACGACTTGGAGTTTTTTTAATTCTTATTTAATCAAGACATATTGAAATTTTTTTGATTTTTTGTACTACTTGTTTTTGTTATTTGTAATGAATACCAATGATTAGTTGGGATTTGATCTCGCTTGTTATTTGTACTTAAGCTGCTACTAAAAGTAGCTTATAAATCATGAATGCAATGAAAATTTTAATAAATTAATTAAAAAGTACGCACTTCGTATTCTTTATTAGTACTTGATAGAACAATGTATACTACAAGAGGGGGGGTGAATTGTAGTGTATGTAGACTATGGTAAATTTTGCGGAATTAAATCTACTACTAAGAGAAAAGACACTGAGATAGGCAATGAATAAATTCACTATGTAAAAATGATTTACAATCACTAATACGTTGCCTAGACTCAAGTTCCGTGAGGAACTCAAGTTACCCAACTGTGATCCCTCAATCACAGTTTCTCACACTTTGTGATTCTACTCCGAATCACTTGTACAGTGTAAACAACTCTCTCAAGTCTCACACTTTACAACTCTCACAACCCAAACCCAATTACACAATGATTACAAGTATTTCCTAAAGAACTTAAGAGACTAAGGATGGAAGAAACTTCTCTTTTAAACACTTTGAAACTCTATGCTCAGAATACTTAAGATTGTTTTTCCACACTTTCAAAACTTAACGTTGATCTGTTTTTATAAGGAGTTAAACCAAGCTTCCATCAAGTTCCCACTTCCCCCTTAATCCCACGTTCTCTTTGACTGAGAAGTTGGGATGTAGGCAGAGGAAATTTAGGAACATGATTTCCTTAGCTTGACTCCCAAGTTCAACGTTCTCCTTAATACTAGGAGCCAGTATTTACCAAGTCAAAAAAAATCAGTTATTCAAAAAGATAATTATTTAATAAAAAAGATATTTATTTATTTATTAATTAAAAGATAAATAATTAATTAATTTAAAACTTATCTTTTTAAATTAATGAATTATTTATTTATTTATAAAATCTTTTTAAATCTTTTTCAAAACTGATTTTTATCACTTCCTTAAATTAAGGGTTTTGAAAACCGTTTTAAAACTTTCGTTTAAAACTTTCTGAGTCAATAGTCAAGTTCCTTCGGGAACTTCAGGTTTCTTCAGGAACTTCGAGTTTCTTCTTAATTCCTTCCATTCCTTCCAACACTTTTGTTTCTTAAGCTCGTACACTGAGTAACTAAGTATATAGAGTTGTGAGGACATCTTGAAAGCTTGCATTCATCATCAAGTCTTCCAAACTCTGTTGTTCCTACTCCGGAACATGTATTTGTGTACCTGAATCTTTCTGTTCAACCAAGACTCATAAACATCATTAGTCAGAGTTTGTTTTACGTAAGTCAATCATCAAAATATTAAGGTAGTCAATTCAACAGTACTACTATAAATTTGTTTTTGTTTTCTTTTTCTTTCTATCCAAAGTAATAATTCTGTAAAATAAATATTAAGTTCTTTGTTTGGAACTAGGATTTCATTTAAAACTCTAGAATTAGCCCAATTAGATAGATATTGAGAATGGTTTCAAAAAAAAAAAAAAGATAGATATTGAGAAAAAAAAAAGGTGTATTTATCCTCTATATATAACTTCCTCAATTTTCGACCATTATTTCAGGATATGTACTCTAATAGTTTATTTGAAGAGTCTTCATAAGAGTTAAATTAGTATCAATGATGATAATTAGGTTAAATTTCGTGTCATTTAGTGTAGTTTTTGAATGAAATATCACAAATTATCAAAACTAAATTAAGATTCGTAGAAACATCAATTAATGGATTTATTAATATTAAAATGGGAGCTTGTAGTAATGTATGTTTTATGAATAACTAGTGTGTCAGTGTGTGGTTGGGGTGATGCACTGAGTTTTACTTTGAATGTCAATAAATATTATTTATGCTATAAAATTATTAACTATATAATTACATAAAATAAGTGAATAATAATAACTACTGAAAATAAATTAAAATATAGCAAAGTTGGTTAGAACACTAATTCATTTGTTATTGGTCTTTTATTCAAACCTTAGCTTGTGATAACATTTTTATTATTTCCATTGAAACATGTTTATTGTAAAATGGATGATGTGGCATATTAGAGCTGTCAATTCGAGTTAACGGGTCGGGTTTGGGTTGGGTAAGAGTGGATCGAGTCAACTCGAGTCAGGTCAATTAAGAATAATTCCATAACCTATGCGGGTCGGGTTTGGGTTGGGTCATGCTTAAGTCAGGTCACGTTGGGTCATACTTCTTATCGGATTTGGGTCGCGTTTAGGTCGGGTTAATAATAGGTCGGGTTACATCCGGGTCAGGTGAACAATAGGTCGGGTTTAATTCGGGTTTTCACAGGTCAAAACGGGTTAGGGTAATTCTTGGGTTCGAGTCGGGTTAGGTTCAAGTCAATAATTTGCGGGTTAGAATCAGGTCGGGTCATTCTTGGGTTTGAGTCGGGTTCGGTTCAAGACAATAATTTGCGAATTATAATCAGGTTGGGGCATTTTCAAATCTGGTCATTCTTGGGTTCAAATCGGGTTCGGTTCAAATCAATAATTTGCGGGTTATAATCAGGTCGGGTCATTCTCGGATTCAAGTCGGGTTATGTTCAAATCAATAATTTGCATGTTACAATCAGGTCGGGTCATTTCCAAGTCAGGTCATATTCGGGTTCAACTAACAATAAATAGATAATTATCATTTTTATCAAGCTAATTATTTCCTTTGACTATAATATATATGGCAATATACTAGGGAAGTACAATTTATAATTTAGGAAGATAATTATCTCCTTTGACCATACAACAAATATATACTATATTTAACTCTTAAATTTGAGGATGATGCTCTTTTCTTTTGCTGGCCTGGACCGACTTGGTCTCCCTAGACAAGATGCTTTGATCAACAATAATAAGGTGGTCTAAATTGCATTTAAGGTGATTTGAAATCGGGTCAGGAAAAATTTGGGTTGAATTTAGGTTGGGTCAATAACAAGTCGTGTTAATTTTGGGTCGGACTAGTAACAGATCGAGTTGAATTTTTGGGTTGGGTAAGTAATAGGTATGGTAAAATTCGGGTCGGGTCAATAAAAAGTAGGGTTGAATTTGAGTCAAGTCAATAACAAGTCAGGTTGATTTCGGGTCGGGTTTGTACCAGGTTGGGTTAAATTCGGATTGGGTTAGGAACATGTTGGGTTGAATTCAGGTCAGGTTAGTAACAAGACGAGTTAAATTTGGGTTTTGACGGATTAAAATGGGTTTGGGTCAATTTCGGTTCAAGTCGGGTTCGGTGCAAGTTAATTAAATTGGCCGTTGTAAACCGGTAAATCAATGCAAGTTGTAAAATGGTAAATTGACCGTTTAAAAGCAAATCAAATGGTTAACCACACCCAATTGACCCTCGGATGGTATAAGGGACTATGGTAAACATTTCAACAATTTTTATTTCAAGACGAAAAAGTCAAAAAATTCCAAAATTGAAGGCTAATATCCACGCTTTTTGAGAAATTTTAATTTGGAGGTTTCGGGGCCGGTGTCGAAAAGTCTTGAAATTTAATGGGATACATCTCGGGGTCATATAATGCCGTTTGGAACCATATATGATCATTATTTGTTGTCATAAATGTCCGTGGTAGTCTTGAATTAATGAAATCGGTGCAAGTTGTAAACTGTTAAATTGGTCGTTTAAAGGCAAATTGGATGGTTCCACCAACCCAATTGGACTCCCAAAGGGTATTAGGGACCATGGTAAATATTTCGACAATTTTTATATCTAAGCAAAAAAAAGTCAAAAAATTCCAAAATTGAAGACTTATATCCACGCTTTTTGAGAAATTTTAGAGGTTTCGGGGCCCGGTGTCCAAAAGTCTTGAAATTTTAGGGGATACATCTCGGGGTCATATAATGCTGTTTTGAACCATATATGATCATTATTTATTTCGTAGTATGCTTGAGTTAATGAAATTGGTGCAAGTTGTAAACGGTAAATTGGTCGTTTAAAGGGCAAATTGGATGGTTCCACCCACCCAATAGGACTCTTGGACGGTATTAGAAACCATGGTAAACATTTCGGAAATATTTATTTCTGGGCGAAAAAAAAGTAAAAAATTTCAAAATTGAAGGCTAATATGCACGCTTTTTGAAATTTTTTGGAGGTTTTGGGCCCTAGTGTCGAAAAGTCTTGAAATTCTAGGAGATACATATCGGGGTCATTTAATGTCGTTTGGAACCATATATGATCATTATTTGTTGTCATAAATGTTCGTGATAGGTTTGACTTAATAAAATCGGTGCACGTTATCTGCCGGTAAATAGGCCGTTTAAAGGCAAATTGGATGGTTGCACTCACCCAAATTGACTCCCGAAAGATATTAGGGACCATGGTAAACATTTCTGAAAGTATTATTTCCGAGCAAAAAAAAGTCTATAAATTCCAAAATTAAAGGTTTATATCCACGCTTTTTGAGAAATTTTAAAGTTTTCAGGGCCCGGTATTGAAAAGTCTTGAGATTTTTGGGAATACATCTCGGGTTCATATAATTTCTTTTGGAACCGTATATGATCATTATATATTGTCATATATGTTCGCGGTAGGCTTGAGTTAATGAAATCGGTGTAAGTTCTAAACCGGTAAATTAGCCGTTTAAAGGCAAATTGGATGGTTCCACCGATCCTATTGGCCTCCCGAAGGATATTAGGGATCATGATAAATATTTCGGCAATTTTTATTTTCGGGCGAAAAAAGTCAAAAAAATTCCAAAATTAAAGTCTAAGATCCATGCTTGTTGAGAAATTTTGGAGATTTTGAGGTCCGGTGTCGAAAAGCCTTGAAATTTTAGGATTATATCTTGGGGTCATATAATGCCGTTTGGAACCAAATATAATCATTATATGTTGTCATAAATGTTCGTGATAAGCTTGAGTTAAGGAAATGGGTGCAAGTTGTAAATTGGTAAATAGGCCGTTTAAAGGCAAATTAGATGGTTCCACCCACACAATTGGACTTCCGGAGGGTATTAGGGACCATGGTAAACATTTCGACAATTTTTACTTACAGGCGAAAAAAAGTCAAAAAATTCAAAAATTAAAGGCTATATCTACGCTTTTTGTGAAATTTTGGAGTCTTTTGGGCCCGGTGTCTAAAAGTCTCGAAATTCTAGGGAATATATCTCGGGGTCATATAATGTCGTTTGGAACCATATATGATCATTATTTGTTGTCATAAATGTTCGTGGTAGGCTTGAATTAATGAAATCGGTGCAAGTTGTAAACTGGTAAATTGGTCGTTTAAAGGCAAGTTGGATGGTTCCACTCACCCAATTGGACCCCCGTAGGGTATTTAGGACCATGGTAAAAATTTCGGCAATTTTTATTTTCGGGCGAATAAAAGTAAAAAAAAATTCCTAAATTGAAGGCTAATATCCACGCTTTTTGAGAAATTTCGAAGGTTTTGGGGCCAGGTATCGAAAAGAAATGATATTTTATAAGATACATCTCAGGGTCATATAATGACATTTGAAACCATAATTGACCATTATATGTTGTCATAAATGTTCATGGTAGGCTGGTATTATTGAAATCAGTGGAAGTTGTAAACTGGTAAATTGGCCGTTTAAATGCAAATTGGATGGTTCCACCCACCTTATTGGACTACCGGAGGGTATTAGGAACCATGGTAAACATTTCGGCATTTTTCTTTCTGAGCGAAAAAAAAATCAAAAATTTCCAAAATTGAAGCATAATATCGACGCTTTTTGAGAAATTTGTGAGGTTTCAGAGCCCGGTGTCAAAATATTTGAGATTTTAGGGGATACATCTCGCGATCATATAATACTGTTTTAAACCATAAATGATCAATATATGTTGTCATAAATGTTCGTGGTAGGCTTGATTTAAAGAAATCGACGCAAGTTGTAAACCGGTAAATTGATTGTTTAAAGACAAATTGGATGGTTCCACCCACCCAATTGGACTTCCGAAGGCCCGAAGGGTATTAGGGACCATGGTAAACATTTCAACAATTTTTATTTTTGGGCGAAAAAAAATCGAAAAATTCAAAAATTGAAGGCTATACGCTTTTTGAGAATTTTTGGAGCCTTCGGAGCCCGATGTCGAAAAGTCTTGAAATTCTAGGGAATACATCTCGGGGTCATATAATGTCGTTTAGAACCATATATGATCATTATTTGTTGTCATAAATGTTCGTGGTAGGCTTGAATTAATGAAATCGATGTAAGTTGTAAATCGGTAAGTTGGTCGTTTAAAGGCAAATTGGATGGTTCTACTTGAAGGAGTTCTGTCTTCAATAAGTGCAATTACTAGATATATCAAGGATCACTATTATGGAGATAATAAGTTCGTTCTTTTGGGTCGTCATTATCTGTTGCTAGACTATGATCATTGATCTTTGGGCTAGTCAAATAGTCCAAAGCCCACTATCCTATGAGGCCACATAACAAAGTTATTGGGTTAAGCAAGTTAGAGGCCCATTTATGGGCCTCATGAACAAGTAACTAATCATGAATTGGATTGGGCTAGTATAGTTAGATTAGAGTTAGGATTTGGGCTTTGTCATGGACTCTTATTTAGATATGAGATCTATAAATAAATTCCATGCCTAGGGTTGTATGAGACAACACAATTAACAGTTAATTGTGCACCAAGCAACCAGTATCCAAAACCTCTCTCTCTCTCTGTACCACACGCCTATCCCCTCCCTTCATGGTGGTTCGTGATTTGTTCGTTGCTCGTTCTACTCCATAGAAGGTCAATTGAAGTGTTCGATTGCAACTAACTAGCATTAGTGGAGGTCTTAATCTGTGCCTGTGGACCAAGTAGAGGAATTACGCTTGAGGTTCTTTATCTCCCCTGTTCTTGTTCGATCGCACGTGGAATCACGCTTCAAAGGTATTAATTCTAATTCTTTATGTGCTATGCATGATCTTGGGATTAGGTGCTATATGAATATGATTCATGTTTTCCGCATTCGTACCTATAAACTCCTACACCACCCACCCAATGGGACTCCCGGAGGTTATTGGGACCATGATAAAGATTTCGGCAATTTTTATATACGGGCGAAAAAAAGTCAAAAAGTTCTAAAATTGAAGGCTAATATACACGCTTTTTGAGAAATTTCGAATGTTTCGGGGTCCGGTGTCGAAAAGCATTGAGATTTTAGGGGATACATCTAGGGGTCATATAATGCCGTTTGTATCCATATATGATCATTATATGTTGTCATAAATGTTCGTGGTAAACTTGAGTTAATGAAATCGGTGCAAATTGTAAACCGGTAAATTGGTCGTTTAAAGGCAAATTGGATGGTTCCTCCCAGCCAATTGGACTCCTTGAGGGTATTAGGGACCATGGTAAATATTTCAGCGAGTTTTATTTCCCGGTGAAAATAAGTCAAAAATATTCCAAAATTGAAGGCTAATATCCACGCTTTTTGGGAAATTTTGGAGGTTTCGACTAGCATATTATGGTGATGTGGCATACTTCTAATATGTATGAAGGGTGCCTCTTGACACATATTTTGTATTAGGAACGCTTTTTAATAATAATAATAATAATAATAATAATAATAATAATAATGTACGTATATGTATAGATTCGTTAAGTACAAATTGTTCTTAATAAAATGTTTTTGAAATTACTCATCGTAATTCTTCATTATATGAAGCTAACCAATTTAAATCATTTATTAAATTTTCTATGACAATGAAAACATAAATATAAGTCAAATAATTAAAAGATTGTTCTATATTGATCTGTATAATTTTAGGGTAAACTTGTTCCATCATCTCTGATCTAGATTGAAATTTACCTCTTCTTGATCTTTGATATAATGACCTTGATCATATCAGTAATTTTATTTCTCCATTAAACTTGTTCAAATTTAATATACCTAGTAAAGACATAAATAATGTTGGTTAGTCTTTTGCTTTATCTATTCTCATGGAATTATGGATAAACGTCATCTGAAATGTCCTAACAAGAACAATTATAAACTATTTTCAGATGTAGTTAAAGAACCTTAAAGGATTCAAGGAGTATTAGTTTTGGGCAAAAGCTAAATAGCGTTTTGAGGGCGTTAGATAAGTTAAAATTAATATTAATTACACCAATCGACGTGTGATTTTGTCAGACATTTCAAACTTAATACTACTTTATGCGAAATCAATTACTCATTTTTTCTAAATTTAATACTCCATACCACACATATTTACACACGTTTTTATGCGATAAGTATATACACCCTTCATGCATCCTATGTACTCGTAGTTTAAACAATTCTCTAAGCACAAGATTTATGTACGTAGTTGATAATATATTGAAATCTTCAATTATATGGTGGGAAATAGTGACGAGGTGTTATTTTATTAATCGATAAAAGTAGATTTGACATAAGATAGTGGGGTAATTTTTTCATTCATTGAGAAATAAGTAGGGTCTTTTCTTCTTCTTCTTTTTTTTTTTTTTTTCTTTACAAAAGTAGGGTCTTTTCTAAATAAAAAGTGTTCAAACTAACATGGGATGTATGAAAAGGTAAACTTTTGAACAACATTGGGGTGAGGTGAGTAATAAGTAATAACAAAAAAGTACTTTTTTTTTTTTTTTTTTTTTTTTTTTGAAATGGTGAGAAAATTTTTGACTAAGAAACAGAATGACATTGTCACAATAATTTTTACCAAGTAGTATAATAGTGAGAAAAGAGAAGTAATTAAACTTTATTGGGTTCATGACATTATTAATAAAAGTGCGATATTCTTGTACAAAAATATTTCTTCCATTTTACTTTTATTGCACCATAAAGACTTTTTAGGTTTACTTTTTAAATATAAATATTATATAATTTTTTGCAAAATTATAACTATATACATAAATAACCAAAGTATGCATTGACAAACATAAAAGCGCTAATGGTGCAATAAATAAATAAACAATAGAGAAAGTATATAAAAAAAAAAGTGCGACAATGAATTATTAAAAAGAGACATATTTAGTATATTTGAAAAAGGAGTACAAAGTTATATGGAGTACTTTGTATTGGAATATCCATTAGCTACTTTTAATTAGTAGCAAAATAAATAATTTTAAAAACATTATGAAGGCAAGCGGGTTTTGAACCCAACTAATCATTGGTGCTCAATACAAATAACAAAAACAAGAGGTAAAAATAATTTTAAAAATCTGGTAATTCTGGAATTGACCAGAAGGCAACATCTTCAAGTCACCATAGTTTAAATCAAGCAGATTCCTTGCGTTCATCATCAACTTCATCGATTTCAACCTCCCCAGCTAATTCTTCAAGAGACTTACCCTTTGATTCAGGAACCATTAGAGTGCACACCATACCTAAGAAGTTGATGACACCAAGCACGATAAGAGACTTACTCTTCCCAATTCCGGCGGGATAACCATGATCTCTCTTAGCCGGATCTTTCTCTTGTGACGCGTACACAAATCCAAAGGCACCTATTATGGCACCAGCTTTTCCTGTTGCAGCAGATATACCATGGCATGTAGATCTCAATCTAGCTGGGAAGACCTCAGCAGGCACAACAAAGGTAGTGGCATTAGGACCAAAGTTGGCAAAAAAGAAGGTGAGCCCATACATGATAATGAACCCAATGCGATTCTCTTTTTGTTGCCAATATTTGTAAGGAAAGGCAATAGCAAACATGAAGACGGTCATGAAAAAGAATCCCATCATCTGAATCCACCAACGACCAATAATATCTATGAAAGCAACAGTAAACCAATATCCGGGGACAGTTCCACAAAGAGCGATCAAGGTTTGAGCTCTTGCTACCATATACACTTCCCTAATAGCATTCATATCTGCTGCTGGTGGGATCCACCCAATAGAGGTGAAAAGATCTTTTTGGAAAAGGTTTTGACTATAAAATGCAATGTCGAGTAAGAACCACGTGCTGGTAGTTCCTAGGAGACGAAGACCGTATTGGCGAGCAAATTGTTTTGTGAAAAGTCCAAATTGATTCCTCTCACTCTTTGCTATTTTGTCAACCTTTTCCTCCTCGGCATCTATTTGAACCTTGAGAACTTTGGACATGTCTGAAGCAGCTTGCTTAGCATCCTTTGCCACAAGAGCAGTGTACCTAGCTGTTTCAGGCATTTGCATACGCCAATAGTATGTTGTGGCGGCAGGTATGGCTCCAAACATCAAGACAATACGCCAAATGTAATCACACTCCGGTGGTAGGGAGGCAACCGCGTTTACTTTGTAAGGGGGAGGCTTGAATTTGGCCTCAAATGCGGATGAAACAATCAAGGAAACAATCCCACCAGCTAAGATACCCATACCTTGCATAGCAAAGACAGCGGCGATGAAACTTCCACGAGTCTTCTTATTAGCATACTCAGACATGATGGTGGCAGATAGAGGGTAATCTCCTCCAACACCAAATCCAAGCCAAAAACGAAAGAAGCAAAGTGTTGTCATGACACTCTTGGCGGTGCTCCCAAAGGAGAGACCAGAGGCAATGGACATTGCAACCATCATAACTAATGTAATACCATACACCTTCTTCCTCCCCATTTTGTCTCCGAGCCAGCCGAAGAAGAGTTGTCCAGCTAGAGTCCCACAAAGGGCAACTCCACTTACAGCAGCTGAGACATTAATAGGCAATGCTCCTGGCTTACTTGCTCCAGGTACATCATAGTAAATGCGGCCTAGAAGCTTTGTCAACAAAGAGATGCAAAACAAATCGTATGCATCTGTAAAGAATCCCATACCAGCAATCACAATTGCTGTAAAATGGTACCATTGTGTTTTCGCAACATCAAGTGCATTCAGCACTTCTAGTTGTTGTCCTTTCACCATTAAATCCTCTCTTTTTGTTCTCCAGTTTTCCAACTCGTTATCGACCTTATACTGTACAAGACCTGCAAGGTAAATTACATTATTTAGGGATAGATACTGATGAATTATATACCTTGAACTTGAATCAATAATCAAATTATTGCACTATATATATATATTTTGTAATTTATGATTAATATATTTTGTAGCACATATTTACCAAAATATACCACGTATGTATATCATCACAAGACTATATACGAGTATATCACTAAGCTAGGACAAGAGAAATAATTATCAGAGGAAGATTGTTTACTAACCCTTTGGAAGAGGAGGAAGAAGCCCAAGTAGAAGAGAGAATTTGATTTGTGAAGAAATTGGAGGGAAAAAACACAAGTATTTAAAGGAAAATCACGTTTAAACATTCTTCCGGAATCTACTCCGTAATCTTATAAGCATATACTCTTTCACGTTTTAACAAATAGTTTTTAATAAAGTTTACATGCAAATATATATGTTTATATGAATGAAAATTTCCGCAAGTGGAAATTCTTATGTTTCTTACATGACAATAAGAAACCAACTGTCCAGCCATACATGTATATATTTGATATATTAATTCATTATATTTTGGTATCTGTTGTTAAACTAATATTATAGTTTTAAGTCAACTAGTAAAAAAACAGTGCATCAGAAAATATCTCTCAATTTTTTAATCTTAATGTTTGATAAGTTCCTACTACATGCAACTATATGTCTATATGCAAGGGTTACAGCTTTCTTCATCTGATCTACTATAAATCCGTTGCATTCTATCTATACTTGTTGGCATTAATTAGTTATATATATATATATATATATATATTTTTAGAAGAAATTTACTTACACACAATCTATCTATCTATAAATAAACAAACTAAAGGAACAACCGCTGATATCATATTGTCCACGTGGCAGCTTTATAAGAAAAAATTTCCCGCCTAAATAAAAATCTGATCTCATTATATTTTCTTTGGTTTCAGATTTCAAATTTAATTTCTTCTCCTCTCAATTTATCTATACTCTTTAATTTATTTATTTTTCTTCTATCACCAACTATTGGTATCTAATACATCTTTCCCTTATGATTCATCAAACAAAATACTTTAATGTATATATTTTTTCTATTTTCCTTTACATATTAGAAGTTTAAAATCATTTTTTTATTTGCTTAATTAAAATCGTATATTAAAAATCTAACTTTTATGTATATGCTTAAATTTTCATATTTGGTTTGTTCTACTTCAAAATTAATTTTATAAAATTATCATTTACAACTAATGGTTATGTCTCAATAATTTTTCTGATACGTAAGAATACATAAAATATATACTCTATATTTCAAAGAAATCCGTGCATTGCACGGGACTAATCTAGTCTCTAATTACGTTATACTCCCTCTATTTTTTTTAATGCATCACTTGAGTTTTCACACTTGTCGAGACACAACTTTGACCATTAATATCTTTAATTAGATATTAGTTAAAAATTATAACAAAATTATATTATGATAGTAGACATTGTAATAAATCCAACAATATATTGCAACATGACCATATTTATAAATTATATAGTAGTGAAAAAATTAAGTCAAATGTAACATATAAATAGCGCAAATTCTCAAGTGATGCATTTAAAAATAACCGAGGGAGTAAAAAAATACGGATTTTTTTTTGACAAAGTGAGAGACTTCTACTCATAAAAAAAATTAAAAAAAATTAAAAATTGAAAAATGAGAGACTTACATACCATCTACCAATCTGCGTTGTACGTAGCGTATTGGTTAATGGGTTTTTTATTTATTTTGTTTGTTGTAATTAGAGGTGTCAATTCAAGTGTTTGAATTAGGTTCAGTGAGGCTGAGTCGGGTCTATTTAATTTCAAACGCGAGTCATGCTAAATAATTGTGCTCATGCGAGTCGAAATCCAAATTGAATATTTTCCAGATTGGGTCAGATTTTGACACCTCTAGCTATAATAGACTAGTTGAACCAGTATAGTTGCTTAAACACTAATTCTGTTTGTAGTTTTAGTTAATGACTTGCTCATATCGATCGTCAGCGATTCATCATTAGTGGCAAAAAGTGTGTGTATATTACCATATGAATGAAATAAGGTAAGAGGAGAAATTTATTGTGAAATTAAAACATTGAGTTTCAGTTAGTAAATACGCCTTTTGTTCTAAAATAACAGATATGTTACACTTTTTCACTATTCATATATTCACTTTAAATGTAATTCTTTTTACAAATTAAATAAATATATACTTTGTCATGATATATAGTGTTAAAAGGTACTTAAATAAAGTTTCATAATAAATTTTTTATATTTACTTTTTACTATATTTAAATAAAGTTAAACTATTACATTGACATGTAAAACGGAAAGAGGCCAAGTTACATCCAATAAGAGTCCACCTAGGTATTTACCCATTTACAACTTATGCCTTCCTTCATTGCATTGATTGACTTAAAACCACCATAAGACTTTATATGAACTTGGATGTGGTAAAGAAAATGGGTCCAAACAATATTGTATGACCCCAATATGCAATCCTTATAATCTCGAGATTTTTCAATATCAAAGGCCTGTTCTGTTCAGCTTAATTTTAGTTTAGTTCAGCTCCAATCGGTTCATTTTAGTTTAGTTCAGTTCCTAATTTCCTTCTCTCATAAACAGTTCAGTTCAGCTCCAATCAGTTCAATTAAGTTGTTTTCAGTAAATCGGAATTGCCCCGAGTCCCAATTAAAACCTATGAAATTGGTTCGCTTTAGTGTGTTACGACCTTTCATTTTTGGAATTTTTAAGACGTGAAAATTAAAGTGGCCGTGGCTCTTCCACAGACCTCGTGACCCCTAAGGAGTCCATTTGGGTAATTTGAAAACATTCAATCTGCTATTAGACCATTAAATTTAGCCACTTTCTTACACCCCGGGCTCTCTTAATTAACTTAAGACCACCATGATGTTTATATGACGGCCAACTAATGGTCATATATAGTTCCAAAAAAATAATATATGATTTTAGAATGCATCCCAAACTATCCCAAAGATTTTTCGACATCAAGCCCAAAACCTTCAAAATTAAACTAAAATCATGGATTATAGCCTTCAATATGAAACTTTTTTTATTTTTTAAACTTGAAAATGAAAGAGGTCGACAATTGCCCCACGACTTCCCAAGAGGCCATTTAAGTAGCTGGTATCGTCCATTTTGCCTTTAAACTGTCAATATGGCTATTTTTGTATACTCCTCCTTTCATTAATTAGCTTAAGACCACTATGGGCCTTTATAATTATGTAACTGATTAAGGGGCATATATAGTTCAAAACAACATAATAAGACACCCCAAAGTTACGCCCCCTACGATTTTGTGAATATTTGACATAGGGTCCTGAAAATTGATTATATTTTATGTGTTATACCTTCAACTTTGGCTTCTAGAGAACAATTTTGGACTCAACAAGTCAACAGGGTTATACATCGATGTGTTTCCTAGGGTTCCCAAAAGGCTTTAGGTACCCTACTTGGTGACAAGAACCATCTTATTCAAGCCTTGGTCCACCCTTATCATCATGTCTTAAGATACATTGACCTTGTTATTACCTTGTCTCGTGTTGCCTTGGTTTATGTTGTCTTGCCTTTCCTTGGATCTAATTAAGGCAAGCCAAGATGGTAACCTAAATTTTGAGATAAAAGTTTTAAAAGATCAAGTTCACTTTTTCTTGTGAATTATTGTCCTCTTTCAACATATGTGGTTTTTTTTTTTTTACAAGTTAAGAGGAAGTTTAAAAGGATTTCATTAATTAAAGATAGCCAAACAACACTTACAAATAATTCCTAGGAAATCTAAAATTCCAACGCAAGTACAAATCATCTTAGAACAAGTTACATAAATCGCAGATTCGATCAATGATCGCCTTAATAAAAAATATCATCCGAAACAATACAATTTATAAGTTAGCCTTAATTTGGCTTGAGATCCACCAATGAATTCATTGGGATGAAGTGTCATTAAGAATGCTACAAGAATTTCATTGAGCTGGAGTATTATTAAGAATGAGTTGTGGAGCCTTTAATGAGCTACCAAATACGAAGTAATAATTATCATCTAGTAGCATCACTAGCATGTTTGATTTCACTAAAAAAAAAAAATTGTAATGAAAACTTGCATATTTCCAAGGTTTTCTACTAATAATTTTTTTCATTCCTTCAGGATGATTGTCCTTAGGATCGATTCGAGGTGGTTAAGCCCGGATAGGTTGAGTTATTAGTTGGGGACTTGCGGTTGTTCATTCATTTTATCATTTTGGTCTTGATTATATATTATTCAATGTGTAAAATTTCAATTGTTTTTCTTTTTCTTTTTTCTTTTTCTTTTTCTTTTTTTCAGGTTCTTCATGCGAAGCCTCATGAATGATGATTACAAGTCTGTTTAATATATAGATAGGGGACCAATTTGGGGATGAAACTATGTTTAAAAAAAAGTACTAATAAGAATACCAAATTTCATAACTTAATCATTCACATTTAAAAGACGCAAATAATTTAATTACCAAATTTGGTAAGATGAAAGAGAGACACTAAAAGATATTAAAATAATTTTCACTGCATTCAATAGCTACATTAAGTAGCAAATCAAATAATTTAATTCTTTACAAAAAATTAAATTATAAATAGGAAAAACATGATAAGTAAAAAAATAAATATTCGAACCCAATTACAAAAATCAACATTGGCTTAGGGTACGAACAATGAAAATATGAAGCGAACAAAGAAAATACAAATAAATATCAAAACAAAATGAATCACATGATTAGTATGTACGCCAAAAAACCAAGCACTAATCAAGCAGAACTCCTGCGTTCGTCGTCAACTTCATCAAGCTCAACTTCACCAGCTAATTCTTCAAGAGACTTACCCTTAGACTCAGGAACCATTAAAGTGCACACCATACCTAGGAAGTTAATAACACCGAGCACAATGAGGGACTTGCTTTTTCCAATACCAGCGGGATAACCATGGTCTCTCTTAGCTGGGTCCTTCTCTTGTGAGGCATACACAAATCCGAAGGCTCCTATAATGGCTCCGGCTTTTCCAGTTGCTGCGGATATACCATGGCAAGTAGATCTCAACCTAGCTGGGAAGACTTCTGCGGGAACCACGAAGGTGGTGGCATTAGGACCAAAGTTGGCAAAGAAGAAGGTGAGCCCGTACATTATAATGAAACCAATACGGTTCTCCTTTTGCTGCCAATATTTGTAGGGAAAGGCAATAGCAAACATGAAAACAGTCATGAAAAAGAATCCCATCATCTGAATCCACCAACGTCCAATTACATCTATGAAAGCAACAGTGAACCAATATCCAGGGACAGTTCCACAAAGAGCGATCAAGGTTTGAGCTCTTGCTACCATATACACCTCCCTGATAGCATTCATATCTGCTGCCGGTGGGATCCATCCGATGGAGCTGAAAAGATCTTTTTGGAAAAGATTTTGACTATAAAACGCAATGTCGAGCAAGAACCAAGTGCTAGTGGTTCCTAGTAGACGAATTCCATATTGGCGAGCAAATTGTTTTGTGAAAAGACCAAATTGATTCTTGTCACTCTTTGCTATTTGGTCAACCTTCTCCTCCTCTGCATCAATTTGAACCTTGAGGACTTTAGACATATCTGAAGCAGCTTGCTTAGCATCCTTAGCCACAAGAGCAGTGTACCTAGCAGTCTCAGGCATCTGCATACGCCAATAGTATGTTGTGGCAGCAGGTATAGCACCAAACATCAAGACAATACGCCAAATGTAATCACACTCCGGTGGTAGGGAGGCAACCGCATTTACTTTAAAAGGAGGTGGCTTGAATTTGGCCTCAAATGCTGAAGAAACAATCAAGGAAACAATCCCACCAGCTAAGATACCCATACCTTGCATAGCAAAGACAGCGGCGATGAAACTTCCACGAGTCTTCTTATTAGCATACTCAGACATGATGGTGGCAGATAGAGGGTAATCTCCTCCAACACCAAATCCAAGCCAAAAACGAAAGAAGCAAAGTGTTGTCATGACACTCTTGGCGGTGCTCCCAAAGGAGAGACCGGAGGCAATGGACATTGCAACCATCATAACCAAGGTCATACCATACACCTTTTTCCTTCCCATCTTATCTCCGAGCCAACCAAAGAAGAGTTGGCCAGCTAGTGTCCCACAGAGGGCCACTCCACTTACGGCAGCTGAGACATTGATAGGCAATGCTCCCGGCTTATTTGATCCGGGTACATCGTAGTAAATACGACCAAGAAGCTTTGTCAACAGGGAAATGCAAAACAAATCATATGCATCTGTGAAAAATCCCATACCAGCAATCACAATTGCAGTGAAATGGTACCATTGTGTTTTTGCTACATCAAGTGCATTCAGCACTTCTAGTTGTTGTCCTTTCACCATTAAATTGTCTCTTTTTGTTCTCCAGTTTCCTTACTCGTAGATGACTTTATGTTGTATAAGACCTGCAAGGTAAATTATATTATCGGTTCGTGACATGTAATGTAATAGTTTGTAACACATAGTTAAATTAAAGTTGCTATATATATGCAATGACATTAATTTTGTAGCACGTATTTATATAACATCACAAGACTATATATTTCGTATACAATTTAAGAAATGCATGATTTGTAGTTCTAGTATACAATATCAGGAAACTATATAAAGCAACGTTAATTATATTGTTTTTATCTATAATAAAAATTCACAATTCTATTTATGATCACTCATGCTAATGCTATAATCGAAAGAGATTGATTGAGCTTTGAGTAAAGAGACCGTTTGATAATATATTACTCGAGCTCAATCGACAATGAGTAAACCATTAGACTTATAACAAGATTATGTTTAGAACTATATATTTTATATATAAAGCTAGAACAAGAAAAAAAATAAGAGATTTTGATGACTAACCCTTTGGTAGAGGAGTAAGAAGCCAAAGTAGAAGAGAGATATTTTGATTTGTGTAGGAATTGGAGGGAAGAAAGACAAGTATTTAAAGGGAAATCATATTTGAACATTCTTCCGGAATCTACTCCGTAATCTTATAAGCATATACTATTTCACGTTTTATCAAATACTTTTTAATGGAGTTTACATGCAAATATATATGTTTATATGAATGAAAATTTCCGCAACTGGAAAGTCTCATGCTTCTTGTATGACAATAATAACACAACTGTCCAACCGTACACCTAATGATATCTTATGTTAAACTGGTATCAAATATGGACTACTACCTTTAATTATTATTATTATTTATTTATTTTTTTTTTTAACGAACTACGTTGGTATTATTTACGTTGATTAAAATATACCCAGTTTATTTTAAGTGTTACAAATAAACTTACTTAATACGGTCGATTTTTTCCTCTATCTCATAGACTCATAGTCCTATCCGAATCCACTATTACTTCATTTTTTTCCCTCACACATTCATTACTTTTATTTTCAATAACCTATCAAACTCACTATTTTTCTATAACAATTTTGTAAATACTCCAACTACCCCACTTACCTAATACCTCTTAATTTATTGAAGTTAATTAATTTAAATTGTCTAAATATATGTACCGGTCAAAGTGTAACACTTAAAAAAGGAGGGAGTACTTCAAATGAGAATATTCACTTTTTCAATATAAAATTGAGATAGAATTACATATTTATTACTACTCTAATAAATGAAAGTTCTAAATAATAATGTAACTAATAATATATTGGAAAATACTAATTTTTATATTATTTATAAAAAAAAATTTAAAAAAAAACTATGATATACATTTCAAATTGTGTGAAAAACTACTTATTAAAAAATATTATAAGAATTTTCCTTATAATAAACATTAAATGTTCTAAGAAGCTATCTCTACTGACTTTTTACATTAACTAATGTGTGGCCTGAGCGGTGTTTCGGATCATTGTTATAAGGCGCAAAAGCTAATGAGCGCCCCCGGGGCGTTAGATAAGAGAATTAAAGTGTAAATATTAGAGTAAAATTGACATTAATTACACTGAACGACGCGTGATTTTGTCATGAATTCCTAACTTAATACCATTTCAACCAATATAATTTATCCTTATCTAACGCCCCGAGGCGCTCGTTAGCAAGATCGTTGTTATAATTATCATATTGTAATATTCTAGTTTCTATATACATGAAGCATAATAGTTTTATTAAACAATATAATAAGAATAATTGTATAACTTAAAGTTGGCTAAGATGGTTAGACTTTCAACTTAATTATTCTTGGTCATGAGTTCAAACACAATAACCATTTTTATTTTTATTAGCATTAAAAATTTTGATTGTGGATGATGTGGCATGTTTCCAGTGTTTGAGATCGAATGGTGCCACGTGGCAGGTCCACCAAGACCGAGACCCAGAATTTTGGAGATGGACCCACCTAGACCCACTGGGTCTAAAAAAATCAGACACAGATCCATTAGGTCTAGCCACTGGGTCTAAAAACACAAAAATCATATCTTACCTATTAAAAACACAAACAGAAACATTATTTTGGTTATCCAAACTAGGAAAATAGGAACTATATTATGGGACGGAGGGAGTATCAACTAACTTTAGAGATTTTTATTTATACGTAATACTTTATGAGGTATCAGTTGCTTAAACTTGTAAATTGGAAACTTTGCCCGAAGTAATTGAGAATAGTTCTAAAAATAGGTAGAATATTAAAAAAGTTACACAAATTACACAGTAGTTTTTTTTTTTTTTTTTTTTTTTTTTTTTGACATTGTGGTATGCGCACGTCTCCTACAGGGTGTATATATAGTGTGCCATTGGGGAGTTTGTTTGGGACATTGGAAGTTCCCAATCTTTAGTATACTATTATGCTTCATTCCAAATTGACTGTCACACTAATCCTTACATATAAGGATCGGGGTATATGCAATTTTAAATTTGACTTTTATACTATTTATATACATGATGCACAATGTTAGTATTGAAAAAAAAATTGCTTCACTTAAGTAGCAACAAGGTCTTGAAAAGAGAGCTCATTGACAATAGTATTTTGATACCCATGGAATTAAAACGACGAAAGATAGATTAGGTTGAGTTTCTTACTTTCTTGTTGGGTTTGATAAATCATTTAATTTTAAATGCGAGCAGTGATTATTCGTTCAAGCTTTTTGTTAGATCGAGAAATTTGATCAACTTCCTCATGAAAAGCTTCGTGACACACGCGCGCACATGTACACACACAGTGCAATTTGATCGAAGAAACTAGAAATTAACAAGATAATTATACAACTCCATGTCATGCTACATAATGCACAACCTTCACAACTATGTAATTCAAAATTATTAAGATATTGTTGATGTACCACATTTTAGAAGGATAAAAGAGTGGAGCCAAAGGATATATGAATTTTCATTGCAACCAACTACTACAATAAGAACAAAATTTAACAAATTAGAAAATAAAAGCAAAAAAAATATTTGAACCCAAAACAAAAAAAAAAAAAAAAAAATTCAACATTGACAAGAAATAGAAAATTAAAACACGGCAATACAAGAAAAAAAAAATTAAATTATACCAGGTTGTAAAGCAAATAATATAATACCACTAACATCTAATCACGCAGAACCCTTACGTCCATCTTCCATTTCATCGATCTCAACCTCTCCTGCTAATTCTTCAAGTGATTTACCCTTAGATTCGGGAACCATTAAAGTGCACAACATGCCAATGAAGTTAATTACACCCAAAACGATAAGGGACTTACTCTTCCCAATGCCAGCTGGATAACCATGATCTCTCTTAGCCGGATCTTTCTCTTGTGAAGCATACACAAAGCCAAATGCACCTACTATGGCCCCAGCTTTTCCTGTTGCTGCTGATATACCATGGCAAGTAGACCTCAACCTAGCTGGAAAGACCTCTGCGGGCACCACAAAGGTAGTGGCATTAGGACCAAAGTTAGCAAAGAAGAAGGTAAGCCCATACATAATAATGAACCCAATACGGTTCTCTTTTTGTTGCCAATATTTGTAGGGGAAGGCGATGGCAAACATGAAAACAGTCATGAAAAAGAATCCCATCATTTGAATCCACCAACGTCCAATTATGTCTATGAAAGCGACTGTAAACCAGTAGCCAGGGACGGTTCCACATAGAGCAATCAAGGTTTGAGCTCTTGCTACCATATACACCTCCCTGATAGCATTCATATCTGCTGCTGGTGGGATCCACCCTATGGAGGTGAAAAGATCTTTTTGGAATAGGTTTTGACTGTAAAATGCAATGTCTAGTAAGAACCATGTACTAGTGGTTCCTAGAAGGCGAAGACCGTATTGTCTAGCAAATTCTTTTGTGAACAACCCAAATTGATTCCTTTCATTCTTTGCTATTTGGTCAACCTTTTCCTCCTCGGCATCTATCTGTACCTTTTAGGACTTTGGACATGTCTGAAGCAGCTTGCTTAGCATCCTTAGCAACAAGAGCAGTGTACCTAGCAGTCTCAGGCATCTGCATACGCCAATAGTATGTTGTGGCAGCAGGTATGGCACCAAACATTAAGACAATGCGCCAAATGTAGTCGCTCTCCGGTGGTAGGGAGGCGATAGGGTTGACTTTGAAAGCAGGGGGCTTGAATTTGGCCTCAAACGCCGATGCAACTATTAGGGAAACAATCCCTCCGGCCAAGATACCCATACCTTGCATGGCAAACACAGCGGCAATGAAACTTCCACGAGTCTTCTTGTTAGCATATTCAGACATGATGGTGGCGGATAGAGGATAATCTCCTCCAACACCGAACCCAAGCCAAAAACGGAAAAAGCAAAGGGTGGTCATAACACCCTTAGCACTTTTCCCAAAGGAAAGACCAGAGGCAATGGACATACAAACCATCATGACCAAGGTGATACCGTACACCTTCTTCCTCCCCATCTTGTCTCCAAGCCAACCGAAGAAGAGTTGGCCAGCTAGAGTTCCACAAAGCGCAACTCCACTAACAGCAGCAGAGACATTGATAGGCAAAGCTCCTGGCTTTTTTGATCCGGGTACATCATAGTAAATGCGACCGAGAATCTTCGTCAATAGGGAGATGCAAAATTAGTCATACGCATCTGTAAAGAATCCCATACCAGCAATCACGATTGCCGTGAAATGGTACCATTGCGTTTTCGCTATATCTAGTGCATTCAACACTTCTAATTGTTGTCCTTTCACCATGGATGTGTCTCTTTTTGTTCTCTTATCTTCTAACTCGTTATTGACCTTATATTTTAAAAACCCTGTATTGTAAATTTATTAAATTTAACAGTGTATAACATCATATATATAAACGGAGAAGGATTAAAGTGCTGATATGCAACTATTCTTTATTCAAATATAATGTGCATATACTTGAAACAGATGTTATGGTGCACATTTGATCTTATTTCAGAAATAAAAAGATAT